TGCGCAGATTGGAAGAGATTTGTGCTGGAGTTACGTGCAGCAACAGTCCGCAGTGGTTCTTGACATGGCTTTGCGCAAGAATGCGAAGTCAAGCTTGGGTGGAAGCACCATTCTTCAAAGGGCTTGGCTGCATTCTTCCTGCGGGGACGTGCGGGGTTGCAATGCCAGACGAATGGGGGTATGTCCCACACAGTCCTTCCGTAAGACTTCCAGGCTTTTTTGTGAGCCATGCTCACTTGGCAGCTTGAAGTCCGGTCATGGATGGTGAAAAACCAGATTGCTCACACTTGTAAGCTTAAGTGCACTTTGAGGAGTCACCGACACGACATGACGCTGTCCGCTTCCGACACGAAACTCTTCGGGTTTGAGGGACCGATCACGGGAGGTCTGACCAGACCGTAGTTGACTGGGTCACCGGGATAAGGCAAAACGGTACTCACCGAGGTCGGTTGGACCAGGTGGTAACTTGCTCCGGCTGGACTTTGTTTTTCGTTTGGCCTACGACGAGGCCGGCAAATCTCAGAAGCTCCGACTTGGACCCGAACATGGACGGGTCATTATTTTCGCTCGTTAAAAACTTCCGTGGTGCAATGCCCAACATGCCTTGTGCATGAGGTTCAAGATTAAAGCACAAAAACACAATGTTTCCACTCTTGAGAGATGCTTTAACCGATGCTCCGGATGTGCTGAAAAGCTGTCCAACCTGCATGAGATATCTCTTAGAAAGCTTTCTCAATGGCCAATAAGTGGACATGCCATTTCTGGTGCTGTGCTTTGTCACCAGAAATGGTACGGACTACTGTGCAGAAAAGAACAGGGCTGTTCCATTTCTTGCAGTGGGAGAGAGAGAGAGAGAGACAGTGAGTGAACGAGAGCGAGGTATCAATGTGGATAGACAGAGGTCAGAAGAACGACTTGGATGCCTCATCACCAGACCTTTGTGATTTTTGTCCCAACAGACTCCGTTTGTTTGGAGGATTTTGGAGGATCAACAGTTGATCAACATGTTGGGAGAAGGGCCAGCAGGTCCAAGCGGGTGGTTCAATACCTTATGTTTGTTTTTTTTGCTTAGACTTTTTGCTGTGCTGCTGTGTTTTGGCTCAAGCAGTGCAAGCTGTGTCAGAATGTGGTTTTTGTTGTCTTCAGTGGGAATTCATGGGGCCAATCAAACATTCATAAAATGGTGTCGGGATGTTTGAATTCATGTGTGTTTTGTGTCCAGGGGTCACTGTGAAGAAGCTAGGAGGTGTTGATCATCTAAGCTATCCCAAGCCACTATCACTACCAAAGAAACTGAACAGGGCCTTGTGCATGTTCATTTTGTACAGGGCCTTGAGCACACACTGAGCAGATGTCAAGCATGTTCATGTCGGAGGTGCGACTCGTGGCGGAGATCCTCATTCTGCATTTTCAACAAGTTCTCGCACCGAGTTCTGCCCGGAGTTGTGACGTAGCAGATTCGACGTAGATCTCTTGGATTGCACGGTTGTCTTGGAGTTCTCGAACCGAATCGAAACGGATTCGACGTATACTCGGGAGGTCGACCTGGCCAAGTGACCTGGCCAGACCATGGCGAATCCATTGTGACTCGACGTCCGGTACCGGGCGCACCGAACTCGTTCCGGGCAGCGCCACACGGCGCGACGCAGGCGTGGGATTTTCGCAAGGATTTGACATCGAAGTCGACGAATGAAGAGCGAAACACGTTGGCATTGGGAATTGGGGCATTTTTGGGGTCGCCACGAGGTGTCTAAGAGGCACATTCCTTGCGGCAAGGCATGTTGTGCATGTGGGCACCACATGGACTCAGGTGTAGTGGACATCGGTGGTGTAGCTGGACGAGACGAGTGGAGTTTCGGCTCCAAATCGGTGGAGTGGAGGACATCGGCATGTCGGTCGCCGACCCAATTGGTGGTGGGCCACGGTCGAGTGGTTTGTGTGGCCACAGGGTCGTTCTGGCCAGAAGACCTGGTTGAAGAGATGGAACAGATGGAAAAGGGTTAACCCTTTCAATTCCAGGGAAACTGACGGAGTCAGTGAAGGTTCCGAAGCCGCTGATAACCAATTGCACGAATGCCGCGTTGGGTTGTTTCTCGTTGGTTCTTGCGCCAGCCTTTGCTCATAGACCACTGCACTATGTAAAGCCCGGCATGTGCTCTGGCAACGTGTGAGTTCACACGATGTGAGCTTTCACCTGTATTGCATTGTATTGCTATTGCTGTGGGAACCAGTTCTATCCAATTTGGTTCCCATAAAGCTGGTGAACCGCCCCTGATATTCTTCCATGTGGCTTCGCCACGCTATGACTGTTTTAAGTTATTAAGCAAAGTGCATGATAGTTTTGGACACATGCAAGTGTAAGCACTCAGAAAAGTTGTTGGCTGCCTAGTTTTGTGCGATTCAGATTGCAGTATACCATACCAGTGGTTGCCCTGTGTTGTCTTCACTCTTAAGGTTTTCAATACCAGAGAGGAGGACTCAAACAAATGTTTGCCCTGTCTTGGCTGAGATCGAGAAACCATGGGTCAAATAGACATACCTTGAGAACCCCCCCATGGAAGCACTTACCGTGTCATTCCGTGTTGCCCGACCTTACAATGTCCATGCACGCGCAGTTTGACAGCTCGTTGTTGCAGCATTTTGATTGAAGTGATAGCTGAACAATCTTGCCGAAGACTACGACAGACCGGGGTTCTGACTTAAGACAACCTATATATACCTTGCAGTTCTACAGCTTTGCCATTCTGAAGAGTGAAGGAACGGCTGGCAGGCCTGCCAGCTGCAAATATGCTGCAGGCGGACATGTGAAGGAGGCTTCTATCGTTTGCCTCACGTGTTGATGCATCATCACACTGCTGTCGAATGTGGCACACGGCACAGAAGCCGCGTTTGGTCGAGAAGCCGGGTGAAGATATGCAGCATGCGCACAAGACTCCGTCTTCACCAAATACATCACTCAAACCAAAGGGGCATCATGTCCGGTACTACGTAATATCAGCAGGTGAACATCTCGCGGGCTTGCCAAGTGTTTCTTTATGTTTGTTTAGCTTGTGGGGCACTGCTGGTTTTCGAGCATCCTTAATTTGTGTTTGAGTCGCCTCCCACGATCCGGAGTCAGTGGGTATCAGTGGGTATCTAATCGCGCATCATGCCCGCTGCTACATCATATAGCACCGCATTACCAGTGCCATGCCACTCGATCGTTCAGCAGTCAGAAATGATCCGATCATGATCCCAGTCAGCTTTGTCAAAAAAGCTAGTTGCACGGGGATTTGTGTCGCAGTGTTTGATGAAGCAAAAGCGTCAGAGACGTGACACTTGTTTCCCTGAACAGGCATGGAATATGACCTGAAAGGTGCATCACGTGAAATCTTTGTCGACTCCGGTTTTCTGATTGTAGCAGACCAATGCAGATCACATGAAATGCAAAGATGGCCGTGGCAGTAGCTTTCATGAGACAGGGCAAGTGTCTCTTGTCCATGTTTTGCTTGAACCCGTTCCATCCTTTCATGCTGAACTGGTCAGCATGAAATCGTCATTCAGGGATGCCAACATCTCATGGAAGATCATATATTCCAATGGGACTGCCATATGTGTCAATTAGGCCGGAGGTTGTTTACCTGCTGTCAATCTTGGCATAAATTCCAGGCCAGGTCATTTCGATCGGTTGGTGTTGGAGTTTCTTCACGAGGTTTGCCAGTTCCTTTGCTTTGACCCAGTCAGAGTCTTTTCTTTGAGGAGGGCCATATGTCATGAGTGGATAGAGGTCCAGCTATCTCACCTCGTTGCTCTTAAACGATGTTGCTGCGATTCTGCGTGATTTGGGTTTGCCATGGGAGCTTCTGAACCCACCAAAGCTTGTGCTTCATCAGAGGATTTGGTCTATGAACATGTGTTAAATCGCCAACAAGTGCCATGTCCAAGTGGTGAGCAAGTGCTGAAGAGTACGATCACACCATTTGAGTAGCGTTTTTCAATTGGCGAATGATAGAATTTAGATTAGACTGTAACTCACCATGTTTGCGAAGGCATGCGAAGGCATTTGTGCGAGTTATTATGTGTGGCAAAGGCTCGCGAAGCCTCTGGCGTAGGCCTAAATTCTTGAATTTCACGCAGGGGAAGCCAATTTGCGAAGGCTAACTTAGAGTGTGTGAACGGTTGCAAAGCTTATTCGGGAAACCAATTGGCGAAGCCTCTGGTGTTGCGCGAAGATTCTGACTCTGCGAAACCCCAGCGTAGGCAACTCAGCAGTGTATAGGCACTTTGCCTTAAAAAGAAACAAGAAACAGCTAATTTCGAATGTCCAAGGGACAAAGCACGGTGATGCGCAGATTGGAGGATTTTTGCGGCGGAGCTACGTGTAACAGTCCGCAGGGTTTTGCCAGTTCCGTTGCTTTGATCCAGTCAGAGTCTTTTCTTTCAGGTGGGCCATACGTCATGAGTGGATAGAGGTCCAGCTATCTCACCTTTCTGCTGTTCAAATTGGTTGTTGCGACTCTGCGTGATTTGGGGTAGCCACGGGTAGCCTATGAACCTATACGATAGCTTGTGGAGCCTAATGATGCCCGAGATTCTCGTCAGAAGCTCCGAATGGGCCCACCAAACGGGCGGACTGGGCGGACATTTCTATTCGCTCGTTGGACACTGGGGTGGTGCAACGCCCAACATTCTTCAGGTTCAATAAAACACTGTTTCCACTCTTGGGAGATGCTGTAACCGATGCTCCGGATGTGCTGAAAAGCTGTCCAACTGCCAACACCAGAAATGGCGCGGACTATTTCGCAGAGAAAACAGGGCTGTTCCAATTCTTGCAGTGGGAGGGAGGGAGAGAGAGAGAGAGAGAGTCAGTGAATGAGAGCGAGGTATCAATATTAGTCAGATAGACAGAGGTCAGAAGGAACGACTTGGACTTGGATGCCTGATCACCAGGTGACTGTGATGTTCAATTGGACTCTCCCAATTCAGAACCCCAAAAGCAGCCGAAACCATCCAGCCGCCAGGTCGCCTGGAAGCGTCAGCCGAGCTCACTGGCCAAGTGGGTGCTCTCGGCCTGCCCCTGAGAAGCTTCACTTGGGAGGCGACGGAGCCGAAGCGACGTTCCAAAGCGAACATGTGACGCTCTGCTCCTGTCCCCATCCGAAGGTGGAGGATGAACCCCCCCTGGCACCCACCACATCCGGGAAAATTGGAACCTGATGGCATACGCCTTTGGAGGACGATTGTCCATGTGGGCTTCTTCCAGAGGGTATGAATGTCTGCATTTCTCTACTTGGCACGGGGTCCATGTTTTGCTGTTGAAACTAACGTTCCGACTGACTAACATGGAAGTGCATGGCATGGTTTGTCAGAAGACCACTTCTCTCTTTCAAAAGAGGTTTTTTCCACTTCCAATGTGATGTGTTTGTCAGAGTTAGTCAGAGTTCCGGTCATGTGGACGACGCCCTTTTGCCGGTCCACGTCGTGTTTTCACCTCGCCTTCACCGAAAGCTGTCCGACGTAGAACTGCAGGTGCAGCACATGGAACCCAACGCAGATGGTGGCGGCGAACTGGAGTTGCTGGGCCGAGTGGTGCCTGGGCCGAGCGGAAAAACATTCAAAGGAGCAACACTAAGAAGGGCAAGCAAACAACGAAATATACCAATATACACCAATTATAGGGTCTTGTTGGTTGTTTCCAGCCCGTGGCTGGTAGATGATTTTTTAGCCCTGGACCTTACGTAATTGGACTGGGACTGGAGATTTCACCGTCTCAAGGGACTGACTCGAACAGGACAAATGAGACTGGAATATGTACAGCTACATTGACCTAATCCAGACATTTGAATAAACCATGACAAACCACTCATCCATGTGTTGTCACTACTTCCCTAGGGATCCACATACCCCTCTGAGGTACGGTGATGTGTTTCTTCCATTGCTCAACAATTTAAAGTTATGTAGGTGCCGGAAAACCTGAGCAGGTATGACTGGATCCCCTATATAGAAATATAGAGTCTTAGCCCAGTCTTAGCATCTCTTGGCAGCATACGTTGCTTGGATATACCCCACATGGGGAAATGAAAAAACGGGAATCGGCTCAGGAAACCACGCGGAAACGGGTCAGGTCTTTCGGGTATCGCAGGGTCACGGTCACTACATGTCACTACATGCCTCACAACCTGAGGCATGTAAAGCAACGTGTGAACGGGGGGAAACAAGACTACGTCCGTTGGGTTTGTGGAATATTTGTTTAAAGCATTTGATTCTTGATAGGTTTGGTAGCAACAGCAACTCCAACATACCAGGATTCTGTTGTAAGACTGTGACATGTCACACGACATGTCTTTTGTTCTCATGATGGGGTGATGGCCAGAGGGCTCGGGAGCCCAATCGAAAGGTCTGGCTTAGCCAGTCCCTACAAGTCAAAGACCTCATGAAATACTGGAGATGGTCATACAAAACCAATACTTACTGAGGTAAAAGACCAGGTTTTACTGGGTCAGACTGGACTTGCAGGGAGTCGTTTTTGTTGTTTCATGTTTTGAATGGACAAGACCTCGGAACAGGGGGGTCTGTAAGCCACCCGAACTGGGTGGTTCTGAGGTATTGCTCCCCTCAGCCTCACCCCAAAAAATAGAAAGCACCAGGAGCTTCAAAGTGACCTAACTTGAGATCCTAGAATAAGGTCACTCAGTCCCTAAAGAGGTCACTTAGAGACTCCAAAGAGGTCACTTTGAAGGTCCTGGTACATACATATATTATGAATATATATATATATATATTATATAGTTATATATATATAACATGATATAACTGACCGCAGGGTGAGTCGATTGGCGCCCCCAACCCAAGCGACTTGATGTACGGAAGGCGTTTTTTCGAACGGCCCAGTCGCAGGGCCAGGAATTCCTTCTTGGCCCTCGGAACTGCCCTAGGCTGGTGTAACGACCTACACCTGCCCTAGGCTTTCAACAACCATTATATAATTTAATAGGCTGAATCCCGAATCAACTAAGGATGTTATACTACAAAACTAGGTCATGCTTTTGTTTCATGGTCGAACGGAAGTCTAGGGCCTGTGGGTTGCATTCCGCCGCCCAAGTGCTAGGAGATCCCAAAATGATTTGGTCTCATCACCCCTTGGGTGAGCTCCACTAAGCAGCTAAGCAGCTAAGCATTGCTATGACGTGGAAGGCCAGCGTTCCTCACACCAAACAGGTGGTTTTCACTCACTTTCTCCACGTGTCACCATGCGGGGAGTGTCACAGCCCGTTGGAGTCAGCCATCCATATATGTACGGGAACACCGGGGCACAAACACAAGCCGCAAGCCTCGCTGAACATAAAGGATCAACACCTGGAGGAAGGAAGAACTATACATATTTAAAACATATTAATATACAGTGGTTTCACTGGATGGCACAATCTCCAATGTCGGTGGTTATTATTTTGGAGGTTTGCCCTTCTACTCTGATTCTTTGTAATCACTTTGGAATCCAGTTGGATCCATTTATGTTGAAGCACGGGTTTGAGTCGGTCTAAGGACTGTTCTCATCCCTGGACTCGGACTCCGACCCCCTGAACCATCCGGGATGGCCCAAGAGTCTCAAGCTCACCACCCTGTGTTGAGCTTGCTGGATCCAGTGAAGAGATCAGGTTCTTTGAAGCCACTGACGCTGAAACGGCCATCCAGTCTAGCAGACTCGGCCCCGTGTGCCGTTTGTTGAAACCCATCACTTCACGCCCCTCAGGATGGTGAAGATGGCTCCTTCACCCACCGCTTCCACGTGACACGCTCCTCAGAACCCAGCAGCAGCTGCACCATTGAGTCACAGGTGCGCTATGCACCACAGAGGCCCTTGCAGCCGCTGCTGAACGCGCTGGGGGGGTCACTCGGTTGCGAGAGGGCGGGAGCAAAACTGGGGTGGGAGTCACCAGAAGCTGTCATGTTCCAAAAGCTTGCTTTGGACCAGCACTGCAACCGATTCACTGTAATATCTGTAAGTATCTCGTTTTTGTTGACGTGTAGATGTTCATGTGCATTTCCATGCATCCAACACCAGATGATACAATCACCTGGTTGGCAACGAGGTGAACAACGCACCAGTTTACAACACGGCCACCAAACTTTTGGTTTCGCAAACTTGAGCACAAGCAGTGTGAACTGAACATTTTTGGAAGGTCCAGGGTCACTTGCCGTGTGACCGGGGCTTTTCCTCCACCTTCAGGCGCTCCTCTCAGCATGAAGGACACCTGCGGATGCTGAGGCGGATCGGCGCGATGCTGGCCGCTGGGTGTGCAGTCGGCGAGCGTCGCGCGTGTCGCGCGTGTGTCGGATGTTCGCGGGAAGGTTGACCCGGAGAGATGGAGTCAGGTGACTGAAAGACCCCTCCAGTCCCACATCCGAAGGTCACCGACCCCATCCCACCCACGTGGCAACTCACCCACGTGGCAACTTTGAAGCGGAGCTCGTTGGAGCCGGTCTTCGTCATGTTCCACATGAGGTAAGCTGGGCCAACTTCTGGGGCCGCCCTGGCCTCCCCTATACCCAGCACCAGGTCCCAACGTTGGAGGGTCCAGTCTCAAGGGGTCGAACCGGTGACCTGTCGGTCGTCGGGTTCTGGTAGATGAAACTGGCTATTCCAGTGCTTGTCACCCCAAAACGGCGGCGGGGCCGCCGTTTTGATTTTTTGGCTGATTGGAGGTCATGAATGACCACCGTTTCTATTCTTAGCTTATTGCGGGGATGCATGTATCATACTGAGTAGCAGTGAACAGAATCAACACTCCCTGGTTTAGTGGAGTTTACATGAGTTTACCACCTGTTTGTTTGGTTCGAAAAACATAAGTCGTCCGAACGAAAGGGGTCATGCCATCCACCTAGATCCACCTTACCCAGTGAGTGAATAAGTTTTGACCTTTTTTTTTATGGTAGTAGTTAAGCAACCTCTAGACCTCACACACACTCTGTTTGGGGTCTCTTGCCGGGATTGCTGCTCCGAAGCGGCTCGGGAGTAGCGATCGATCTTTCGATGACCCAAGGACGGCGATGTCATCTTTGACCCCGTGGGGTTCTACAACCTCATCGGCCCCTTAGGTTCTAACCATCGCCCGGCCCTTTTTGGTGGTGGGATTGGGAGGCGGTGGTTTCCGCAAGGAGCCCCTGCTTTTTTGAGGGGGTTTTCTCTCAGCTTGTGTTGGCTTTTATGATGTTACCGCCCTTGGTGGAGTTCCGCCCAACATCCTGCCATTCACACCGCGCCAACAACACCACGGCCTCGTCCGCTCGTCAATGCAACACCTCCTTGACCTTCCACACATGGGGATGGGTCCAAACCTGGAGCCACCCGTCCGCCAGACGCGACTAATGGGCCTGCCATCGGCTATATATATTGGGGTGGTGCCAGGGGGGTCAATGGGGCGGCAGTCCTATTGCCGTCCGGAGTGTACGGGACGTTCACGGGACGTACGAACAGCCCGGCGAACTCGCGACCTCGATCCAGGCCGTCTCATTGATTTGGTGGCGCCCTTCGAAGATCTCGCCCCTCGCCGTCACCTGGTGTCCCTGTAACGTGGAACGGAACAAATTCGCCCGAAAGGTCGAAGGGAAGGTGGTTTTTGCTTTGAAGGGTCCCCTGCAAGTCCAGTTTGACCCAGGTCCAAACCTGGTGTTTGACCTCAGTAAGTATTGGTTTTGTATGACCATCTCCAGTATTTCATGAGGTCTTTGACTTGTAGGGGTCTGTTTTCTTCGTTTTTGTTTCTGTTTTTCTGGTCGTTGGGGAACCGCAGAACGGCTGCGAAGCCCAAGGGTCGCGAAGGGTCGCAGGGCTGACCAGGCGTTGTTCAAGCAGGGAGTGGTCGAACCACACGGGTCGAATTGGAGCCCTAGTGCTTGAGGGTTGCTGGTGATCCCCTAGGGCTCCTGTCCCATATCCTCAGGTGACCGGTGGTTAGACTCCCCAAGACCACCCACCCCAAGCATTTTCGAAACGGAGGTGGGCCAGGAGCCCTAGGGATCAAAGGTTGGTGCAAGTTTTTACCTCTGAGGTTGTTTCAGCAGTTGTATTGAACGGTTTCGGCAGTTCAAATTCTGAGATGGTTACTTTCTTAAACCCTGCATAAGCTAAAGTCTTTGAGTGAGCATCCTACATGTTACCTACAACTCATCATCTCACCGGGCCTTCTTTTGCACAGCCCATAGTCAGCAACTCAACCCTGGCCGTCCTCGTTTTCCGACCATCTATTTTAAAGCTTTGTAGATATCGATAGATATAGAAGTCTCGTCCTTATATCTATTCAGCAGAATGCCTCAACAATGAGACTACATTCAGCAGAAGTGTTAGTATACTATTCGCCTCACCTCTATATACAACTCTTCCAGTCTCATGGACGCATGATGTCTATCACCTCTGCATGGCGTTGGTTCGGCCCCCCCCGTCCGCTCCCAGGCCCGGGAGAAGCTGGCGACCTTGGCGGGCTTGAAGGGCTCCACGGCGTCACCGGCGGGGCTGCTCAGCCCGCCGGACGAGCGAACCGGTCGACCATCGCGAAGAGAGCCCGGGAGGGAGGGAGTGAAGAAGTCCATCTCGTGGCATTGATGGGTGCTAATATCGGTATATGGAGCACATCAGGATGGAATCTGGAGCACCTCCACTTGCCAGCCGAAAAGCGAGCGGAAAACTGGACGAGCCAGCCCTGCTTCGCCGCCCTGGCGATCCAGTGCTGATATAGTTTCTGATTGCGCATCAGATGCTGAAGAATTACAGTTTCTTATATATAACACCCAGTCCTCTCCGCTTCTCCAATGTTCAGCGAAATCGCCTGCGAAGTCGCCAGGTCAAATTGCTGGAAATCGGCTCCGGCTCAGGGCGATGGGCCCGAAGCCTCTTCCCAGACGACCAAAACTCCGCCCCTGTGTCCAAGGTGCGCGGCCGCCAGTGGGGAGGAAAGACTCTTAGTATAATTATATATTATATATTTGCCTATGGCTTCAACCACATCCTCAGGTGGTTGGGGTTGAGAATATGGTTGGAGCCCCTATAGGCTTTGTAAGAAGAACGCTAGGAAACAAAGCATGAAACAGGCAGATGATAGAGGCATACTAACAGTTCATTGCAGCGTCGAAATGGATGGAGAGCAAGAAGAGGATGGTTCAGTCGAAAAGCATGGTGCAGGATCGACTTCGATGATCCAGTGTCATCAGAGTTCTGGACATCACAAGTCACAGCCTCACCTCATAACACCTCTGGGTGGTGGTTTCAGATATTATATATATATATATTAATCCAGCTTTACTTGGGATGATTAGATGATTGAACCCACTGACGTCGATCCGCTGATCCAGTGAGTTGAAACCACCAACCTTGGTTTGTGACCTCAGCTGGCGTTGGTTGCATTTTTAGCTTCAGTAGGTCGTAGGGACTTGTGGGTTAGGCTAGGTGCTTGTTTTTTTAATGCTTGCCCTGCAATGGGTCCAGCCCTATGTCAGGCCCAATCACTCGCAGTGCAGATGGATCAGTTTTTACAGAACTCCAGAATTGAAGGACCCCCCAGGGCTCAAACCACATTCTTCAGAATCAGAAGGTAGCTCTTTGCACACCCCAAAGATCATTGCGATCTTTGTACGGGTGGGAAGAGCAGGTTCTGAGCAAAACGAGAAGGGTGGCTCCCAGCAAACTCACCAAAGCTTCCTGAGGATGCAGTTGGAGCCTGACGTTCCACACCCCCACATGAACGTTCACATGTTCCCACCTAGATGTTCTCCTGTGGATTGACATTGATCCGCCTGAAACTGTTTGTAGATTCCCTAGGGCTCCAACCACCTCCTGAGAAGATGGTTGGGGTGGGTTTGGGGGGTCTAACCACCTTCTGAGGATATGGTTGGAGCCCTAGGGATTGACATCCCTGCTTGGTCGGATGGTGACTCCGACCAACAACACCCTGTGACGCCCCGGTCTCGGGTCTTAGCCGCCCGGGTCTCGGAGGGGTTAACCGTCCGTCCGGATGATGACTCGCCGCTGCCGCTCTACATCCAGGTGACTCAGTATTTGGGCGTGGACATCTCCCTCACCATGGCGGATGAAGCTGCCCCTCGACCGTGGAGATGTTGCAATGGGCCGTGGAGATGTTGCATGAGAGGGGAGATGTTTCATGATGCCCCCAAAACCTGGGGTTTGGTGAATCCTGGGGAATATCTTTGACTTTTTTCCCGTTCCTCAGAAACATAACGCCTAGACACTCCATGTATGCTATATGCCTACATTAGTCCTATGGCAGTCCCATGGATCGTCGTGTTTGGGACAGACTTCATTCACCCGATTCTGGACATGTGACAGATCCGTGCGCGGGTTCCACGCGCCCCCTCCGTGCACGGGCCCGTGACGTTCGGGCCCAGCAGATCACAGCGAGCAACGGTCGTGTTTTTCGCTCAGCGAGGCTCGAGCCTTGGCGAAGCTTGGCAACGCCCGAGTCGTGCGCGGGGATGCACGAAGAGAAGGCTTGCTAGAAGAGGCGGGGGAGAAGGAGAAGGGAGGTCATGGCCAGAGCCTTTGGAGCCGTAAGGTGGCCCCAATTCTGTTTTGAATTGGTTAGCTTTTGTAGCCGTTTGAACCGTTGAACATTTATTTCCAAGTCCTCTTAATCTGATGAAAAGAAGATAAATGAAGCGTCGCCAAGTGGCATGAACATGGGCACATCCACTCTGAGGTTGGCAGAAAAGAGACTTAGGAGTGTTTGTGACAATTGCCACCCGTTCAATACTGCAAGGCCATATATCATAGAACTGGCAGATCCCCAACAAAAAACCATGGGTATGATCATGTTACCTACATTCCCTAGGGCTCCAGCCATATCCTCAGGTGACCGGTGGTCTTCGACCCCCCTGGCACCCGTGTAGGCCGGTCCCACGGATCTATAGACCTGGACACTCCAAAGTACTTCTACCTTCCCGTTTGGGCTCCGAACAGCCCACCTCCGTTTCGAAGATGGGACAGGGGTGGGTGCCAGGGGGGTCGAAGACCACCGAACCTGAGGAGATGGGACAGGAGCCCTAGGGCTTGGAAAATGGGACATGACCCCATAAAAAACAGGTACGACTGTACCCATCTTCCAAGGTACGAACTGAGACTCTAGGTAGTGCCAGTATGTTGCTTTGATCAAACGACACAGACCGCCCCCCCGCGAGGCCTGTGGCTCCTTCTTGGCCGGGCCTCCAGATCGACCCTCGGGAAGGTGGAGTGAATGGGAGCGCGCGACACGACCTGGCAGTGGGACTGGAGGATGTGTTTTCTCCACAGGACACGAGCTCCAGGTCAACCACTCCAATGTAACAATATATATATATTGTGTTATTCAATTCATTCATATGCCAGTCCCATGGAGTGTTTGAGTACCTACAGAGCGCGCCGATTGGGCGGTCCTAGGACCAGGAGTCACAAGTCACCACTTCTAGTTACTGGGGGCTTTCGGCGAGGTTGTTTTCTAGTTTAACCACTCCCATCACTTGAAACTATTTGCCATTGGTTGGAATCCCCAACCCGCCTTGTCCACCGGTTTCGACAGCACTGAGGAATTGTGGCGTCCTACGTGCTCGATGCTTGGCTGCCATCCCGCAGTGAACAACCACCCCACCGGGTCGGAAATTGAACGTGTAGGAACGTGTGCATGTCTTAACGTGAGCAAGGGGCCAATACTACAAAAAACCATATAATGTGTGAGGTCCGTGTGTGATACATGCACGGAGCCTGACCATGTTCCCTCAAAAACCTCGTGATACCCTGTACAGCTCTGTTTTGTGGGAGAATTGACAGGTTTTACAATGATGGTCTCGTTTCGTGATATGTATTTTCCGGTAAAGGTGAAAAAACACCATGTGTTCCTGCGTCTTCATCTCTTGGGCCACCCTGATGTGTCTCTTGAGTCTCTTCTCCATTTATCGTGTTCGAACGAAGAATCTGTCCTCACATCAACTCATCACCAGTCGCGTTCTACGAATCAACGAAACGGCCAGAGCGCCAGCGCACCAGTTCGTGCGGACTCCAACCGTGCGCTCATCTGTCGTCTCATCCAGTGGCCCACTGGGTCGAAACAGTTGGATTTTCCCTTGCGTTTGGGCTGGGTGCCAGGGTCCAGTCACAACCTGAGGGAGGGAACCTCCTGGAGCCCTTGGTGAAAACTTCCGTTTCAGTGAGTCAGAGTGTAACATCCACATCATCCAACTATCTTACACATGCAGATTGATTGAACCACCAAAATCAACAAAGCATGCACATGAGGTCACTTTGAACATGCTCCCCCCGCCAAAAAGAGAACGTTGCTAAGGACATTTTGGATGACAAGGACGGATGTGACCAGTCGCCTCACTGTGCGTTCTCGACCTTCTGCCCAGTCGCCAAGAACGCATCGAAGATCGACCGCGCCCGTGATCGATGGGAAGAAGTCGGGAAGGAAACCAGTCAGTTCTTGGTTGTTTTTGTTGGTATGGTTGGTCGACCAAGAGGTAGCTCATGGAACCAGGTACGACCATATACAATATTTGCATGTATCATATAGAGTACTAGGATAATTCCACCGGGCAGGGTGATCCCTTGCGACGGAGGTCTCAAATCTTGCATAGACTTCCAATCTGAAGCAAAAACCACTGAATGTTTGTACTTAGAGTGGCTGTCACCGGCCAAAGTGAGGTAAACAAACTTCTTTTAGGAGCGGCAAAGTTGGAGGAAACACGTTGCTGTAAACTCCAGTTGAAGTGTGTATGTGTGCAGCCCGTAGGACTGGCATTCTAGGACATTAATTTTAAGATATGTCGGTTCCACATCGTGGAAACCATCATCATTTGACATCCACACATGACCAGGAAACAGCTCCACACATGCATCCTTCCCAACTCGTTCGTGTCCTTTGCCGGCCACGTGGCCATGCCCGGCTCCTCGCCGCAGGACCTGCAGCGGCTCCTCACGTCCTGTGCCAAGCTCTTACGCCAGTCCGGGGGACTCTTCGCCGCCGCCGGCGCCTGGACTTGCCGCGGCGTCGACGCGTCGACGGTCACCGCCGCTTCGACCGGTGGCGCCTTCGGTGTCGATGAAGCAACGGGGCCCGGAGGTGAGAGGTCCTGACGGCCAGGTGAAAGGATTTCAATTCACAGAAGCCCTAGGGATCCAGTCATACCGAACCCGACTGGCTGGCACCGGCCAAGAACAGTGTCGAACACATCAACTTCTGAGAAGGTACGGCTGGATCCCTAGAAAAGCACGGACGTGTGGTCGAACGGGCTGCCTTCGAACGGGTGGTCAGACAACATGTGTCCACTGGGGCGAAACGGGAGACGGTTGGCTCCAAGCTCATTTCAGCCACCTGCTCAAGCTCCTGCCCTCGCGTTCGTACTTCTGGTTGTGTTGGAACCCGTTTAGGTGGGATTCAATCTATCTCATGGAACGGATAGTTCACTGGCTCAGTAGCCTAGGGCCATCGATGGGGCATAGATCTCTACACATTTGGCAACAAACATTCTGACGACCCACCTGCACCCGTGCCTGGGCAACATGGCTTGCACAAAACAGGGCGAACTGGACTCCGTCGAGACCATCGTAAGTCAAAAAAAAGAACGAGAAGTCGGAGGAAAGCTGCAACAGAAGTTCAAGGTCCCGGAACGCTGCAGCTTCAGAAAGACTCATGAGTTTTGCTGGGCAGATTTGGTCCCTGCCTTTCATGATGCCTACAAAGGCTACAAGCGAGACCGAGTAGGCCCTCACGAGGTGCTCGTGGAAACGACTCTCACGGTCGCGCCAGGTCTATGGAGGCGAAGCTCACCACTTTCATCTGAAACATCCCAACTACGCCTTCATCGGTGCTCGCCAGCAACTTCGACGAGTACACCTGGCACTCTATAAGAAGTACAAGTTCCTTGATTATGACAAGGACTCGCCATGACGGAGTCGGAGATGGAGACCTATGCATTGCTGATCCGCATGTTAGAGAAATTCTATTGGAAGCGCTTGCTGCAGCCTCAGATTGACGAGGAAACTCATGGGACGCAAAGCAGTCAAGAGCAGGCCCGTCAGGTGCTGAGGAGCTACCGACACATTTGCCCAGTCACCTTTGCTGCCCTGAGACAACGAGGCTTTGAGGAAAGTCTCTTGAAGATCGTAGATCAGTGGTTGCGGAGTTTCTTCTGCTTTGGTTGGGATCCCCAGCCGCAGCACATGGGCAACTTTCAGAGACTCATTCGGATTCTCTTCAACATGAAAGTGGACGAGAGTGACCCTTTTCGAGATCTGCGGCGAATTGGCGTGTGCCTTCTGATGCAAAACTCGTACAAGCTCTTGGAGGCCTGTGATCACCGAGCAAGCACTAGGGACTTGGAGGCGATCGCCAAGCGAGTAGTGTTGAGCCGCAGCTTTTTCGAAGTGTTGAGGGAGATGCAGCATTTTTCAGGCGCACTCCCAGGACCTCCTGCGCTTACGAAAAGTAG